TTTTTCCATTTTCCCCTTCGAACACAATGTTAAAGTAATCCAGGATAGAGACCTTGGAAACTGACGCCATTGGAGCAGACAGTTCCTCCGCTCCGGAGTGAAATCAACTTGCAATCAAGGGCAATCTGAGTCCGAGGTATCAATCTCACCTCGCCTCTGATCATGAGCGCAGGCCTGAGTGTTTACTTCTCAATCCCTTATCACACATCACAAATGTTGCTCCCAGTTGCGCAGACAAAAGAGCAGGAGTTGCGTCGCTCGCACGTCCAAAATCGGCCACGATCAGGCTGCACAGTCTGCTGCGGTTGTCTGGACACATCAATAATAACACTGAGGCCACATCCGTTGTTTCTGCGCTCCCATCCGTCGTTCGGACGCAAAGCGCTGCGTTTCACGGAGGCATATAGCGAGTATTATAATTGGACCAGGAAGTACACACAATAAACGGGACTTTCGGTTCCCAGTTCGGTAGTTCCCGGTAATGTTCGGCTGTCCCCAGTGAAACTGCTGGCATCGGAGGGTGGTGGCGCTCGGTCAAATGTTTTCAATTATGCTCATGTCGGTATGATAACAGCCAGAGTTTCTCCGGATGTAGAGCATCATTCCCCCAAAAATGTAAATTAGGTCTGCGTCTCTGGCTTGGTAATAATATAAATAGAAAACATATAAATATAAAACACTCATTACTGACTTGCACATAGCATCGTGTCGTGTTTTACATATGAAACATGATGAGCGCATTTTAATAACAACTAAATCACGGTGACTTTTACTTTCCATAATATTTAGTAAACACAACAAAACACATCTTTCAGCTTTTCGTGTTTTTAAACGGGGTTTTGCGGAGACGTGGGACGTAAATGTGTGTCGACTTGTTGTTAGGCTATAAATACAAGACGTAATAGTCTACACAAAGAGGTTCAGACATTTTTAATTGGGCATGATTGAGGTATATTTTTTAATTTAATGTGATTTCGTTTTCAAAAATTGTTGGTTCATTTATATATTTTATGTATATAATTACTCGATATATTTTTACATTTTAGTATTCAGCATTTTTGGGCTCCATAAGCAAAACGTCTGGAAAGGAAATGCAGAGAATATACTATTTCTAATGTATTTCATCAAAATGAAAACATCTATGAAACATTTCCACAAGCTGCCAACCCTGAACTTTTTTTAATTAATGTATTGTGTTTGATAAAATAAAGAAGTTACACTTTTATTAATAAAGTAATTAGTTACAGCACACACACAAAAACAGGCAGCCTTATGTCAAAGCACTGCTTGCCATTTATTGAAAACATTTAAACAGGTTCTGCTAACATTTTATGATTTTGTGTAATAAGACCATTTTCACAAACACATCCATCTCAATTAAAAGGAAAACAAAGAGATCAAATAAATAAATCACCAATGATTTCCACAGAAAGAGCTTGAACTGCTGGGATCTGCTCTTCCAGCTCCACCAGGAAGCTTCTTTTTAGTTAACGAGCCCCTGAAGTATCATCACTGACTGTCCTGGGCTGAAAGCTGTTTTTCAGCCTCCTCCTGCTTTGACTCAGCAGAAGTATTATGTCTGCTACCTTGTCCAGCTGAGTTGCTGAGCCTTTCCCCTGGAGTGTGCTTGTTTTGCAAGCTGTGTTTCAGCTCCTGTCTGGCGCTCAAAACTGCAGCCTGGAGTGCTGCGATCTCAGCAGACAGTTCTATTACTGTAACGACAGAAAACAACAATTAAATTGGTGAGTGGTGGAGCAGCAGAACAGTAGGAGCTTTCTCCTACCTTCAAGAAATATCTTTGCCCATATCCAAATTTACTTATGCAACAGAAGCTGTAGCCATCGTGCTGTGAGTATGCACAGGACTCTGGAAACCTCTATTCATATCTAACAAGCTGCACAAAGCAAACCTTGATTCATATGCATATGAGTTAAGGTTTGCATATCTAGAGTCTTGCATTACATGGTAATAGACACAATAAAAAGGCATTTTATGTGCTGCAGATTATATTGCACGTGTTCTCTTTATGTTTTTCAGTTTTCCTGTGTTTTATTTCTCTGTAGCATATTTTTTCCTAAAAGCTATACATGCATATCGTCAGTTTTGTAGATTTGTTTATTTTTTGTGTTTGTGGTTGCGATCTCTCTAGCTGCATTGTTTTGAGATGGCAATATTGGCACATATGAATCAAATTCAAAGCCTTGATCATACTCCACATTGTTCCTGTTATACTTCTGTGAAGTCAACCAGCTGGGACACATGTAAGATAATTTCTCTGCATTCACACGGACCCTCGTGCTCACCATCCGGTCGTGAAATTTCCATCTCAGATGACAGCAGACCCTAGCTTATTTGCAGACATTGAAAGTATAATCTCATCCATAGTTGAGGCAGAGTAGGTTTCACCTGAAACCATAACACTAAGATGTCCTTGGGCATGTAACATACCTTGCTTGAAAGATGATTGTGCATGTTTTAGAGACTGTGGCACCAAAACTCCAAACCACTTCAGTGGGTCTTGCTGAGGATTCTGGTCACGTTTTCCAGCTGGAGCTTTCTCGCTACCAGTGCTCTCGCTTTCCTCTTTTTCTCCGATCTCTCTTTTTGGTCTGTTTCTTCTCCTGACACCTTGTAAATCAAATACTGTCATCAATAATAGAGTTAATAATAGACATCAACGACACACATCTTTAATACTGCATCACCTTCTTCTTGAGGTCCTATATCCTCTATAGCTCTCTGATCTTTTCCAGACTCTTTACGACACGTTTGTGTACATCTTTCAGTGGTGAATTCCACCTCACCATTGTCCAGTGTCCTGTTACATACAAATATAAGTTTTAAAAGAGCCTTTTAAACAAATTAAAGTGATCAACAGACTTTTCATTTTTCATAAAAATTACTGATTCCTCACCTAGTTTGAACACAGACTAGTGGCTCAATCTCACTTGCATACTGAAGTGCAGAGACTTGTTTGTTTCCCATCGTATATCGTGCCTTGCTCATAGAAAACCACCCCTGAGGGGAAAATGGTAATGTCAGATTATACAGGCAGAATGTAAAAAAAGAGCATTTTTATTACAAACCTTTTTTGCGTAAATTTATTTTGAAAATCCTTATATGGCTTTTTATGGAATTTAAACACAGTCAACATAGCCCTAAAGTCTGTTAATATACCACACTAAGATATTTCCCATTATATAACACCTACAGCCCAAAATGCCACATATACATTTTGATTTATTTTCTATATTTTTACCTACACATTCTTAGGGAGCAAAAATTGAACCTAAATGTCTGATGTTGGCTATTTATCAACAAGGACACTACAGGTACCTGCTCTATGAGAGAGTTGAAAGTGGCTCGCTTCTCCTCCAGTAACTCCAGCTGCTCCATGAAACGAAGCAGCTTTTCGTCCAGTAACAAAGAAGATTCCTCTGATTCTGACACACCCATACTCACTTTCTGCGCCAATTTAAGTCTCCTTCGCAGGTAATCTTTACCGCTATTTTACAACGTTTGAGTAAACCGAACAGAATCTGTTGCGTGCTTCCGTGTACCGTCATGTGACACGTAACCACGTGGTATACACCACGTGTTCATATATCAAACATACAGAAAATACTAATACCAAACATATCGCTGATATACTTGTGAAGTGTGACTTTGAATCATTTATGAGTCCTGGAATCCTATGTACTGTTATGGAAATGGACTCGAAGAAACGCTGTACGAAAGCAATAATATTGAGATATTGTTAAGATTACCCTTCCCATAAATTTTTGTTGCTGTTTTACAGTCAGTGACTTTCTAAGTCACTAAGTAAATTGTCGAATCTCATAAAAGTATGAATACAAAACATTTTGTTCCAAATTTGACAAAACCATAAAACCTAAATAAAAAAAAAACGAAGTTCCCATACCGGGAGTCGAACCCGGGCCGCCTGGGTGAAAACCAGGAATCCTAACCGCTAGACCATATGGGAGCGGTAACGGCTTAGACTACATCTCTATAGATGAAGGACATATATATGAAACTGTGACTTATTTGTACATATATTTAGCATGTAAGTGACATTTAATATTTACTACTGTTCCTCCTTTTTGTGGCTTTGACAGGTACCATCTGAAGAACTGATTAAAAAAACAGCTTAAAAAAATTTAGGTAAGATGAAAACGACTCTAAGTATTAAAAATAAACTATTTATGCAGGACTCACATTAAGATATTAATTAATTAAACTATTTTTTAACGGAAAGCAGATCCGCACACGGTCACCACGTCACTTTAAATAACAGTCGTCTGCCGCGAGACGTCAAACCACTGTTTGATGACGCAGCTCACACAGTTACATATACGCTTCTGCTTCACTGTTGAGCATGTCTCCCAGTAGCGCGCCGTGATCGTATAGTGGTTAGTACTCTGCGTTGTGGCCGCAGCAACCCCGGTTCGAATCCGGGTCACGGCAGGGATAAATCCCTGGCACGGCTTGGGACGACTCTTTTTCTTACTATGCCGTAAATTTTGTTTCGTATACTTTAAAGTAAAAATGTAAGGTTTTTTAGGGTAATTACAAGTCTTGTCCTTTAACTGATTTAGACCAAATGATCATCGGATATCACATGGGTACACTCCACGTTAGGTTTGTATATGTAAGAGGGCTTTACTTCAGCTACATTTTGCTTCTCGTCATTTTCAGTCCATGCGAGTGAAAGTTTAACTGTAAATATTTCCTTACTAAATCATTATCAGCGAGATAATCATGGCCTTCAATCGGAGCATCTTCCGATTGAAGGCCATTTTCTACCCTTTATCAATCGCTAAAATATTGTATGACTTTCGCCTTGAAAAAGAGGGCTGATCCCTTTTCATTGGTAGATGTCATAGACAACGGCCATGTTCCGAGAGGAAGAGCCAATCGGTGAGCCAGTAGATCTCATGTGCAATAGCTCTATGCTTAAAGATGTTTGATTGGCTGTTGTGATCCACAGGTAACGGCCCCCAAGCACGGAGTTCCTCGTTTGAGTTTATGTGCACGGGTATGTTAGATAGCAGTGGATCTTTGACCTGCTGTGTATTAAGTCAGATTACCCGTGGAGCTGAACACCCATTTGGTGGCATCTACGGTAAGGATAAAAGCACACTGATGAACTTCTCACATAAAACGTTACACTTTTAACTCTGTGAATTAACTAGAACAGAATGTAATATAATGTAATACAGAGAATGTTTAACTCTACACTAAGTCTAGTGCTGATTATGTTTCTGTATTCAAACAGATAATGGACTCCTCTAAAGCATCTCATCACCCTTACTGGCCTCGAGACCTTTCAATTCCCAATTATGTGGCCAACGATCGATCGATGTCAGAGATTCTGGTGTTTCTGTTTTCTGTGTCTGGGCTGTTTATGCTGGTGACCTGGCTGATCACCGGCCAGGCCACCAGCAGGCTGGGCGCATGGAGGCGCCTGGCTGTGTGCTGGTTCGCTGTTTGTGGCTTCATCCATTGTGTAATCGAGGGCTGGTTCTCGCTATATTATGATATAATTCCAGGAGATCAGCGCTTTCTGTCACAGCTGTGTGAGTACTAACGGAGAGCATGTGTTTAGAAAAATGCACAACCTACCTGTTGTGTGTGTGTGTGTGCGTGTGTGTGTGTGTAGGTGTGTAAAATCTGGTCAATGTGTTTTATGTTTTCCTCTCACAGGGAAAGAGTACTGCAAGGGAGACAGTCGATATGCAATGTAAGTTCATTTCTGCTCTCAGTTTTGTGCATAAAAATGATTTAAAAAAGTTGCGATTGATGTTTCTTTTCTCTCTAGTGCTGATAACTTTACTGTTTGTATGGAGACTGTGACTGCTTGGTTGTGGGGTCCATTCAGCTTTTGGGCTGTTTATGCCTTTTTAACCAATAAGCCCTACAGATTTCTCCTGCAGCTCATCATTTCAGTAGGTAAGACGGGACAGAAGCTTTCTTCATGTCAACCTCAGATGGAAATAAATTGTTGCTAAATTGTAGCTTTATTTTGTCTTCTCACGTAATCTGACTCAGGCCAGGCATATGGAGCGGTGCTCTACTTCTTCACAGAGCACAGAGATGGCTACGCCCACAGCGAGCTGGGACATCCAATCTACTTCTGGTTCTACTTTGTGTCTATGAATACCCTGTGGATCGTCATACCGCTGGCGCTCGTTTTGGATGCATGGAAACATCTGTCAGCAGCCCAGAGGCAAACGGACAGCACAAAGTCACAGAAGAATAAGAAGAACTGAGTGTGTGCGTGTATGGGAGGGGGGCAACATTACATCTCCGTCATTATGAGACTTTATCAATATGAATGTCAGCAAAGTAATAGTTCTGTGATTTTTCTCTTTTTTTTTACTTGGCAACTTCTTTTCTGAGAAGAGCAAAATAAACCACATGTGACCACTTTCATTTTCTCTCATATTTTTTATAATTTATATGATCAGACTGAACATTTCATTACGATGCAGATGAAGATAGATTCATCACCCCTCCCATTAAAACACAGCTTTTACAAACACATTTTATTTTGGATTACATTATTACATTATTTTACTTATTGCACAGAAACAAAATGATTCAAGGAAGCTATATTGTCATTTGCGTCACATGTTTCCATGAGGTGGAACGAAACATGATCCCAGAGCGAAAAGAAAAAGAATTTAAAAAGTGATAACTAAATAAAACATAATAGAAAAACAGCAACAACCTTTGCACCAGTATGGATGTAGAAATGTAGCAGCAAGAGGGCATGATGACCAGCACTGATAAAGTGGCGGTGTCAGTAAGTGTCAGTAGTGATTAAGGTGCTACAATAACAGTTCTTGTCCATTATGCATTGGGAAGTCTCACAGCTTCTGAAATGAAACTGTTTCTCAGTCTGGTGGCATTTAATGCTCCTCAGCCTCCTG